TGCTAAAAAGCTAACTAGGTCTACTGAGAACCCCTTAAAGAGTAAACTCCTTAAGCTCAGGTCTTTTGCCAGTTTAGTTAGGACCATTAATGATCCCAACCCTAAATCTGGTGAGGCTTATGCCAAATCCTCTGCAACCAGGCCAGAAACTTCAGTCTGTGCCAGTGCAGCCAAGAGGAGGAAGAACCCTTCCTTTACTTCATCTTCAGATGAAACCCACAAGACCCAGTCTACGGTTGCGACTGTAGGGTCTGTACACTGTCGTAAGCAGCGCTTACCTTTTCTTCCATGTAAATCCTCCCAGATAGTTTCATGGATAAGACGCACTCAGACAGGTATTTTGAACATTGAACTGATCTTTCCTTCATGCCATCTTTTCTTTGTTAAGATTGTTTCTATTCAGAGAAGCGGACAGTCCGCCTTGACTTTCTCTGGGAAAAGACTTTGGTATGTTAGTCGCAGTCGGTCATATCCGCTGGGACGGGGCTACAAATCCCAGTCAGTTGTTAAGGAGAAATTTTTTGTTCCTATTGAGATCCCATAGCAGATTAATTAGGGGATAATTTAGCAGGTGGATTGTAGGTAGCAGAAACAGTATCCAGGCCAGTTTAAGTTTGATATGTAAATATCAAACTTATCTTCGTTGGGCATATGTGACGAGCTGGTCTGGACAGCTGTTTCTGTCCTTTTAAAAAGTGCTTTGTTTAGATAAAATTATTATCAAAGTTCTGAACATTTTCCTATTGCTTTTAATTAGCATAATAACACTGGACTAATTAAGAAATTTCTTACCCCTTTCCTAATGCTTCATTGTAGCAAAATTATAATTAAAGAGTTGAAAGGTAATATAGGCGAAGAGTAGTGCAAGGGGGACTGAAGAGTTACTTCCTCCTGACTTCCTGTTCCCTTTTCAATTCAGAAATTGACCGGTTCAGACCTAAAGTTGTTAGTCTGCCTGTGGTCCAATTTTCTGTTTGAATTCCCTGCCAGGGGTGAGTTAAAAGAATAAGTTTAATTTGATGTATTGCTGCTTATTCCTCTGAATTAATTTTACAGGCTGAATTCTGGAATTTAATGCCCACATGGCTCAACAACTATGATAAATTTCTTTATCCTCACTAACCACATTTATGATCTAGTATGTACATGTATGCAAACATATTATCGATTTGATGATTGAATTAATGTTTATTTGCTACTAGAAACGTGCATTGGTATTTTTAATAATTATACTTATATTAATTAAGTGATAATTATGTCCTCATGTGAAATCTCAGCCAGTTCCTGTTTCCAGCTTAGACAATTAAAAATAGGAATGAAGTTTATATTCATTATACCTAATCCCTTCTAAGTTGATTTCACCTCATGGTGATATTAGCTTGATAAATTACTGTCTTGCTTTAATTTAGATTTAGTCCAGATAATTCTGAGACTGGTTTAAGAGCTTGAAAAGTGAATAACACAGTGAGGGAATTTAATATTCACACTGTCAGAGAAGAAGAAGCAGAAAAGAGATGTATGGCCCATGCTTGTAATTATTATTGTTGTAGATATATTTCCCTATTACTAGGAATACATTTCAGTTTTACAGCAGCTGGCCTTACAAATGTAATAATTATATTTCACCCCTCACCACTTCTAAACTCTGCTGAATAAGATTAGCACATGTGTGGATTTAGATTTAAACTGGAGTGAGTGTTGTATATTTTATGTTAATACTGTGACAGATGGAAAGCCCATTGTCAACTATGATTGTATTTTGACACTTATCCCAGCACCCAGTATATTGATGGAGATATGTCAATCCCATTTATTTTCAAACAGTGCAAAGCACCTGTTATGAGTTTCCTGCCTTGGTAAACTCACTCCCTGCTTCTCATTCATTGTGATGTGAACCCATGTGGTTAAAATGAGAATATTGTGAAATATGACTGTGTGTCTGTGTGTGTAAGCATGTTAACCCTTCAAAGGAGTACTAGTGTGCAGACATCAGAACAATTTACACTGAGGAATGTCCTTTCTTTTTGTGTGCTGTAAACTCTTGTTCTTGAGAGTATTCATGAAACTGGTTTCCTAAATATTTCCCCATCAGGATTATGGACCATGTTCTGTACACATTCCCATTCTATACCAGTAGAATGTGAACACCTGTTTTCTATCCTACTCCATATATATGTGTGTAGTGTAACAGTTTAAAGACTGGAGGTATTGTTGTCTCCAGTTAGAACCTTCCTGACTGTTTGTATAAGGACTGTTCTATTGTTCTAGTTCCAGATTGTATTCCAGATGGTAGTCCAGAAGTAGATCCTAAGCTTAGTCGCAGATACCCGATTGTCCGGACTGGACTGGAAGATTCGGCCTGCCTGATGTGTTTCCGAAGCTTAGTCAGAAGCTGACAACAGAAACCTAAGCTACAGCTAAGTGGGAACATCTGTTGCTTTCCCAATCCATAATTTTATATCCACAGCCATTTTATTTACTTATCATTTGAATTTATATTGATTTGAAAATCCTAATAAATGTTAGTTTTAATGTTCCTACAGTTTTATGAAGTTTCATTTTAACTGTAAACATTGTCAGTGAACTTAAGAACATTTAAATATACAATCTTAATTACAGCAGGGAATAAGATGTGGGCAAACCCCGAATCCTCTCATTTAACCAGCAAGGCTGGGGTTACTATAAGACTTTTTGATGTTTCACCGTTTGCAATTCCCTCTGTAAAGTGCACATAGTGCATTCGCTAGTTAAAGCGAAGTTACCCGCCACATCATCTTCCTGCATTAAGATCTCTCCTGCTTTCGATTTTACACATCCTGCAATAATATGTGGCCAACTCAATATTCTGTGACCAAGTCAATAGTCTGTGGTCACGTCAATATTCTGTGGTCAAGTCAATAGTCTATGGTCACGTCAATATTCTGTGATCAAGTCAATAGTCTATGGTCACGTCAATATTCTGTGGTCAAGTCAATAGTCTATGGTCACGTCAATATTCTGTGGTCAAGTCAATAGTCTATGGTCACGTCAATATTCTGTGATCAAGTCAATAGTCTATGGTCACGTCAATATTCTGTGGTCAAGTCAATAGTCTATGGTCACGTCAATATTCTGTGGTCAAGTCAATAGTCTATGGTCACGTCAATATTCTGTGTTCAAGTCAATAATCTGGGGGCCAATGTTGCATACGACATATGCAAGACAGCACTGGTAGCGGTCGCAGTCACTAGGACATCATAAATATATGTATGAAAATATTTGCGCAGTTGTTTGCTACTTGGCAACAAAACACAAGACTTGGAGCTGCGAAGCTGGACAGTTAACCGTTAGGATCGTAGACTGTTTCATGCAAGGAGGGTTGCTCTACCACACGGCAGATGGCAGCGCTTTGTCTAGAGCAGTGGAAACAGTTTAGTACCGGACAAACAGTCAAGCGTCTACTGAATGTTTAGCCTAGAGCTGGTTTTCGTCAAGTAACAAGAATTTTATAGACGAAGTTGTTGTGGCTGAGGGGTCACTGGCTTGTTGTTTTCCAGTGAACCGAAATATTGTCAAGGTCACTTTTGTAAACTGTTTAAAATGTCTGCCTTAATGATAAACTATATGTCCGTCATCAATACACGTTTCCACTGTGTACAAGTGAGTCATTGAATATTTTACATTTAGGTAATGTTGCGAGTCACAAGCTCACACATTTCAGGACTGAGTTCGTGGGGCTGTTTTGTCTTTGTAACAAAAAATATTATAAACCGGAGACAAGTCAGCACCTGATGCCACCTGATGTCACCTGATGCCACCTGATGTCACCTGATGTCACCTGATGTCACCTGATGTCACCTGATGCCACCTGATGTCACCTGATGTCAAGAGTATGCAGAAGACAATCAGCCATACATTAGACTAGTGAAGCAGACACAGACAATGCACTCCACTGATGTTGGACACACACACAGCAGACTCACTGGGTGTATGACAGACAGTCAGAGAATAGACTCCGCTCGTGTAGAACAGACAACAGACTCACCTGGCGTAGGAAAGACAGAAACCTGACTCGTCTGGTGTAGGACATACAGAAAACAGACTCAACTTGGTGTAGGACAGACAGACAACAAGCTCACCTGGTGTAGGAAAGAAAGACAACATCCTCACCTGGTGTAGGAAAGACAGACAACAGGCTCACCTGGTGTAGGAAAGACAGACAACAGGCTCACCTGGTGTAGGAAAGACAGACAACAGGCTCACCTGGTGTAGGACAGACAGACAATAGACTCAATTGTGTAGGAAAGACAACAGACTCCCATGGTGTAGGACAGTCAGACAACAGACTCCCATGGTGTAGGACAGACAGACAACAGACTCCCATGGTGTAGGACAGACAGACAACAGACTCCCATGGTGTAGGACAGACAGAAAATAGACTCACCTGGTGTAGGAAAGACAACAGGCTCACCTGGTGTAGGACAGACAGACAACAGGCTCATCTGGTGAAGGACAGATAGACAACAGGCTCCCATGGTGTAGGACAGACAGACAATAGACTCACCTGGTGTAGGAAAGACAACAGACTCACCTGGTGTAGGAAAGACAACAGACTCACCTGGTGTAGGACAGATAGACAACAGGCTCACCTGGTGTAGGACAGACAGACAACAGACTAACCTGGTGTAGGACAGACAGACAACAGACTCACCTGGTGTAGGACAGACAGACAACAGACTCACCTGGTGTAGGACAGACAGACAACAGACTCACCTGGTGTAGGACAGACAGACAACAGACTCACCTGGTGTAGGACAGACAGACAACAGGCTCACCTGGTGTAGGACAGATAGACAACAGGCTCACCTGGTGTAGGACAGACAGACAACAGACTCACCTGGTGTAGGACAGATAGACAACAGGCTCACCTGGTGTAGGACAGACAGACAACAGACTCACCTGGTGTAGGACAGACAGACAACAGACTCACCTGGTGTAGGACAGACAGACAACAGACTCACCTGGTGAAGGAACGAGTACAGACTGGGCCCTGATGTCCACGGGCTCGGGCTGTCACAGGTGACGTTGACCGGTCTCAAGATGGCCGACTTGTCGTAGCGCTGGAGCGCGTGCGCCAACAGGTAGACGGAGTCATACATCAGCGCCACCTCGTGCTGATCACGTGCAGGTATCCCACAGACAACACAATCAAACAGGTGTGAGCACAGACAACATAAAATATATGCATGTCTATGCAGCACTTCTATGCATTATGATAGTACACGTGTGAGCACAGATAACAGATCATATCAGCTTGACTATAAAGCACGTTCAGGAAATAAGATAAAACTGAAGTGACAAGAACACATCCCCAGATGTGACAAGAACACATCCCCAGATGTGACAAGAACACATCCCCAGATGTGACAAGAACACATCCCCAGATGTGACAAGAACACATCCCCAGATGTGACACGAACACATCGCCAGATGAGACAAGAACACATCCCCAGATGTGACAAGAACACATCCCCAGATGTGACAAGAACACATCCCCGATGTGACAAGAACACATCCCCAGATGTGACACGAACACATCGCCAGATGTGACAAGAACACATCCCCAGATGTGACAAGAACACATCCCCAGATGTGACAAGAACACATCCCCAGATGTAACAGGAACACATCCCCAGATGTAACAGGAACACATCCCTGCGTCTTGTTTTTTTTTGGGGGGGGGGGAGGGGGTTGGGTGGGGGGGGGAGGGAGGGTTGAGGAGTATCGGAAGCTGGTGTACCACTGACGCTATCCCAAATCGAGGGTCCAGGGGTCTGTTTAAACACTGGGCTAGCACATGTCACATGGGGATGAATTCTATACCTCACCATAGGGGAATGAGTCTTCTAACACCATAGGGGAATAGTCTTCTAACACCATAGGGAAATGAGTCCTCTATCATAGGGGAATGAATCTTCTAACACCCTAGGGGAATGAGTCTTCTAACACCATAGGGGAATGAGTCTTCTAACACCATAGGGGAATGAGTCTTCTAACACCATAGGGGAATGAGTCTTCTAACACCATAGGGGAATGAGTCTTCTAACACCATAGGGGAATAAATCTTCTAACACCATAGGGGAATGAGTCCTCTATCATAGGGGAATGAGTCTTCTAACAGCATAGGGGGGTGAGTCTTCTATCATAGGGGAATGAGTCTTCTAACACCATAGGGGGATGAGTCTTCTAACACCATAGGGGGATGAGTCCTCTATTATAGGGCGATGAGTCCTCTATCATAGGGGGATGAGTCTTCTATCATAGGGGGATGAGTCTTCTAATACCATAGGGGGATGAGTCCTCTATCATAGGGGGATGAGTCCTCTATCATAGGGGAATGAGTCTTCTAACACCATTGGGGAATGAGTCTTCTAACTCATCATAGGGGAATGAGTGATCGAACTCATCATAAGTAAATGAGCCCTCTAACTCACCAGAGGGGAAAAAGTGATCGAACTCATCATAGGGGACTAAGTGTTCTAACTCATCATAGGGTAATGAGTCTACAAACTCACCACAGGGGAATGAGTCCTCTAACTCACCACATGGGGAATGAGTCCTCTAACTCAACAAATGATAATGAGTCCTCTAACTCACCACATGGGGAATGAGTCCTCTAACTCAGCAAATGATAATGAATCCTCTAACTCACCATAGGGTAATGAGTCATCTAACTCACCATATGGGAATGTCCTCTAACTCACCTTAGCAGAATGAGTCCTCTAAGTCACCATATGGGAATGAGACCTATAACTCACTATATGGGGATGCATTCTCTGCCTAACCACGGGGAAATTAGTCCTCACAACAGGGGGAATAATCCTCTAACCCACTTCATGTGAATGAGTCCTCTAACTCACCAAATCGGAATGAGTCCTTTACCTCACCAAATCGGAATGAGTCCTTTAACTCACCAAATCGGAATGAGTCCTTTAACTCACCAAATCGGAATGAGTCCTCTAACTCACCTAATCGGAATGAGTCCTTTAACTCACCAAATCGGAATGAGTCCTCTAACTCACCTAATCGGGATGAGTCCTTTAACTCACCAAATCGGAATTAGTCCTCCAACTCACCAAATCGGAATGAGTCCTCTAACTCACCTAATCGGGATGAGTCCTTTAACTCACCAAATCGGAATGAGTCCTCCAACTCACCAAATCGGAATGAGTCCTCCAACTCACCAAATCGGAATGAGTCCTCCAACTCACCAAATCGGAATGAGTCCTTTAACTCACCAAATCGGAATGAGTCCTCCAACTCACCAAATCGGAATGAGTCCTCCAACTCACCAAATCGGAATGAGTCCTCCAACTCACCAAATCGGAATGAGTCCTCCAACTCACCAAATCGGAATGAGTCCTCCAACTCACCAAATCGGAATGAGTCCTCCAACTCACCAAATCGAAATGAGTCCTCCAACTCACCAAATCGGAATGAGTCCTCCAACTCACCACAGGGAAATGAGTGCTCTAGCTCACTACAGGGGAATAAATCCTTCAACTCACTACAGGGGAATAAATCCTTCAACTCACTACAGGGGAATAAGTCCTTCAACTCACTACAGGGGAATAAGTCCTTCAACTCACTACAGGGGAATAAGTCCTTCAACTCACTACAGGGGAATAAGTCCTTCAACTCACCACAGGGGAATTAATCCTCTACCTCACTACATGCAATGAGTCATCTACCTTATACGTTTCGGTTTCCATGGCTGAACGAGCGCCGCGGTGTCAAACGTTGGACTCAATGTACGCCTCAGACGACACAACCCAATGTTACAATGATGGATCGACCCCAGAGTCGCACGATGTATGGCATACCAAACTGATCCACTATCGGAGATATATCCCAAGATGACTGCTCCGACAGACAGGCCGGAAGCCACTACAGTCTCATAGATATTTCAATCAGTGTACTCAGCTAGTCAAGGCTGGAGGGAGATCAAGTATTTCTGACACTCAGGTGATTATATACACCAAGGCTTATCTTATTCATCTGTGCATTCACCAGCTGTAGGCTCTGGTAGACAATTGTGGTTGCTCACATACTTCTATTCATCTGTGCATTCACCAGCTGTAGGCTCTGGTAGACAATTGTGGTTGCTCACATACTTCTATTCATCTGTGCATTCACCAGCTGTAGGCTCTGGTAGACAATTGTGGTTGCTCACATACTTCTATTCATCTGTGCATTCACCAGCTGTAGGCTCTGGTAGACAATTGTGGTTGCTCACATACTTTTAGATTTTAGTCCTATTGCAGAATCAGACTCTGAAGAATGCTCCAAATCAGTCGACTCTTACGACATGCTTATTGGTAGGCAGTGGGTTTATTATAATTTTTCTCTACAATGGGATCCCGGAACCCACACAGGGACTCAGAGTGGGGAGGGGGCGGGGGAGTGAGGCACACATGGACTCAGAGATGGGGGGGGGGGGGCGGGGGAGTGAGGCACACATGGACTCAGAGATGGGGGGGGGGGGCGGGGGGAGTGAGGCACACATGGACTCAGAGATGGGGGGGGGGGCGGGGGAGTGAGGCACACAAGGACTCAGAGATGGGGGGGGGGGGGCGGGGGAGTGAGGCACACATGGACTCAGAGATGGGGGGGGGGGCGGGGGAGTGAGGCACACATGGACTCAAAGATGGGGGGGGGCGGGGGAGTGAGGCACACATGGACTCAGAGATGGGGGGGGGGGGCGGGGGAGTGAGGCACACAAGGACTCAGAGATGGGGGGGGGGGGGGCGGGGGAGTGAGGCACACATGGACTCAGAGATGGGGGGGGGGGGGGGGGAGTGAGGCACACAAGGACTCAGAGATGGGGGGGGGGGGGGGGGGAGTGAGGCACACATGGCACACATGGACTCAGAGATGGGGGGGGGGGGGCGGGGGAGTGAGGCACACAAGGACTCAGAGATGGGGGGGGGGGCGGGGGAGTGAGGCACACATGGACTCAGAGATGGGGGGGGGGGCGGGGGAGTGAGGCACACAAGGACTCAGAGATGGGGGGGGGGGGGGGGGGGGGGGGGGGGGGGGGGGGGGGGGGGGAGTGAGGCACACATGGACTCAGAGATGGGGGGGGGGGGGGCGGGGAGTGAGGCACACATGGACTCAGAGATGGGGGCTGGGGGGGGGGGGGGGCGGGGAGTGAGGCACACAAGGACTCAGAGATCAGGGGGGGGGAGGGCGGGGAGTGAGGCACACATGGACTCAGAGATGGGGGGGGGGGCGGGGGAGTGAGGCACACATGGACTCAGAGTGGGGGGGGGGGGGGCGGGGGAGTGAGGCACACAAGGACTCAGAGATGGGGGGGGGGGGGCGGGGGAGTGAGGCACACATGGACTCAGAGATGGGGGGGGGGGGGGGGGAGTGAGGCACACAAGGACTCAGAGAGGGGGGGGAGTGAGGCACACATGGACTCAGAGATGGGGGGGGGGGAGTGAGGCACACATGGACTCAGAGATGGGGGGGGGGGGGCGGGGGAGTGAGGCACACAAGGACTCAGAGAGGGGGGGGGGGGGGCGGGGGAGTGAGGCACACAAGGACTCAGAGATGGGGGGGGCGGGGAGTGAGGCACACATGGACTCAGAGATGGGGGGGGGGCGGGGAGTGAGGCACACAAGGACTCAGAGTGGGGGTGGGGGGGCGGGGGAGTGAGGCACACAAGGACTCAGAGTAGGGGGGGGCGGGGGAGTGAGGCACACAAGGACTCAGAGATGGGGGGGGGGCGGGGGAGTGAGGCACACAAGGACTCAGAGTAGGGGGGGGGGCGGGGGAGTGAGGCACACATGACATCCACGCGCGCGCATAAACAAGCTACAGGTGGGACAACAACTGCTTAAGTTGTATAGAAAACAATCACACTTATCCCCTCTCGATTACTCAGCCATGCTGATTACAACATACAGGCACAGTCTACGAGACAAGATCAGACAGTATAGAGACACTGACAGACATAGTCTACAAGACACTGACAGATACAGTCTACAAGACACTGACAGATACAGTCTACAAGACACTGACAGACACAGCCTACGAGACACGGGCATATATGGTCTAGAGACGTTGACAGATACAGTCTACAAGACACTGACAGAAACAGCCTACGAGACACGGACATTATATGGTCTAGAGACGTTGACAGATATCGCATGCGACACATCGACAGACAAAATCTACAAGACAATGACAGACACAGTCTACGGGACACTCACAGACACATGGAATGTGACATATCGACAGACACAATCTACAAGACAACGATAGACACGGTCTACAGGACACTCACAGATACATGGCATGTCAGACAACGGCGGACACGGTTCAGGAGAAACTGACAGGTACAGTCTACCAGATACTGACAGACACGGTCTACGAGACATGGAAAGACACGGCCCACGGTCTACAAAACACTGACAGACAAGGTCCACGAGCCAGTGGCATACACACACTACGAAACTGACAGACCTGGTCCACGAAACAATGACAGATGAAATCCAATCCAAGACACACCGACAAACACTGTCTACGAGACACAAACTGAGAGCTATTTTCTCTAACACATTCCAAGTATCACTGTTCATTAAAAAACGGCAACCTGATGCCATCAATATACACAGTATCTGTTGACATCAACTTTCCTTCATCCAACACTTTTTACCTTGTGCCGTTCACCTCCCTTTCACAACGCGTTTGTGGTCTGTAGACATCTCACTACCTTTTCCCGTATAAACATGTCCGTCCAGAGAAGTGTCTCAACCTTGCTAATGCCGCGACCCTTTGATACAGTTCCTCATATAGTGGTCGCCCTTTAATATAGTTCCTTATGTAGTGGCGATCCTTTAATACAGTTCCTCATGTAGTGGCGATCCTTCAATACAGTTCCTCATGTAGTAGCGATCCTTTAATACAGTTCCTCATGTAGTGGCGACACTTTATTACTTTTCCTCGTGTAGTGGCGATCCTTCAATACAGTTCCTCATGTAGTGGCGACCCTTTAATATAGTTCCTCATGTTGTGGCGACACTTTATTACTTTTCCTCGTGTAGTGGCGACCCTTTAATACAGTTCCTCATTAGTAGCGACCCTTTAATACAGTTCCTCATGTAGTGGCGACCCTTTAATACAGTTCCCCAAGTAGTTGCGACCCTTTAATACAGTTCTTAATGTAGAGGCGAAAATTTAATACAGTTCTTCATGTACTGGCGACCCTTTAATACAGTTCTTCATGTACTGGCGACCCTTTAATACAGTTCTTCATGTACTGGCGACCCTTTAATACAGTTCTTCATGTACTGGCGACCCTTTAAAACAGTTCTTCATGTAATGGCGAACCTTTAATACAATTCCTCATGTACTGGCGACCCGCAGGCATACAATCATTCTCTTTGCGACCCTATGTCTTTATTGAATATGTTTTCCGATGGTCTTTGGCGACCCATGTGAAAGTTTCGTTCGACCACAAAAGGGTGGCAACCCACAAGTTGGGAACCGCTGTTCAAGACTCAAGAGTGTGGACAGTCATCAAGAATATTTAGCATATGAATGCAGCAGTTAGTTGAACGCCTGTCGTGTTTCAACAGACAGTCTGTTGGCAAAGAAAGAGTTGAGAGAGCGGAAACAGTGATGTCCTACAGGAAGTGACTGGACAAATATGGTGACTGACTTCTGATGAACGGACTACACTCAGTGCCATAAATCGTGCCCAACTTTCAAAACCAGTCACTCAGTAACTGCTGGGTCAAGTCGTTGAGACCCAGCTGTGTGTAGCCTGTTTATAAGCACACCTCGTAGGACATAATTTCTTTTTTTTCCCATCAAACGTCAACAGACACAGTTTTTATTTTGATTTTTTGCGGCTTATGAAAAAAAAAAACAAATGGCAGACACCAATTCAGTCAGCATATTCACAGTTGACACTGAATGAATCAGCATGTTCACAGTTGACACTGAATGAATCAGCATGTTCACAGTTGACACTAAATGAATCAGCATGTTCACAGTTGACACTGAATGAATCAGCATGTTCACAGTTGACACAGCTTCAATCAGCATGTTCACAGTTGACACCGCTTCAATCAGCATGTTCACAGTTGACACTGAATAAATCAGCATGTTCACAGTTGACACTGCTTCAATCAGCATGTTCACAGTTGACACTGCTTCAATCAGCATGTTCACAGTTGACACTGAATGAATCAGCATGTTCACAGTTGACACTGCTTCAATCAGCATGTTCACAATTGACACTGAATGAATCAGTATGTTCACAGTTGACACCGCTTCAATCAGCACGTTCACAATTGACACTGAATGAATCAGCATGTTCACAATCGACACTCTATGAATCACCATGTTCACAATTGACCCTGAATGAATCAGCATGTTCACAGTTGACACCGCTTTAATCAGCATGTTCACAGTTGACACCGCTTCAATCAGCATGTTCACAGTTGAGTGAGTAACGGGAACTTTTACAAACATCAAACAGCACTTGTTTCATTGACGTTTGACTCCCAGCTTGTCATCTCCGGCATAAACCTCCAGTGAGTCTAAGACTATCATTGTATGCGGAAAAGGCTTTGAGAATAATTTCTATGCATCCTTGCAACTATGAAGTGATTTATAAACAATATCTACTCGTGTGACTATAATGTGTGTTCTGTCTTTTGGGTGTACGCACATTATTAGTCAGACAAAGATCAAAGAAAATTGCCGCATCAAGAAAATCTCAGTAGCTGTGCAACTGTAGACAATGAAATCATAAGGACTTGAGAAATCTAAAGCCACTTGTGAGAATTCGTGTCGATTCGTACTGGAGTTTCAGTTATAGTGTGAGGTCACAACTTTTAGAACTCACTATTTAGCAAAATGGGAGACAACTTACCGGCAAGGACAGATAACCGGTGGTGTTGAGCAAGCTGAGGTCCGTCTGCATCTCGTAGATCTCCATGTCATGGATGACGGCCCTGACGTAGGGATCGCTAGGGTCCACCAGCCGGAACCCAGTCAGGTTGACGTAGTTGTGCCGGTAGTCCTCCATGTCTATAGACTCGATGTCCTGTATTAGAACAACATAGGGCTTTGTCATGTTGCCAGTTAGTTCAACGGTTGAATTCAGTTGGACCACAGCTACAGTGATGAGGGAAATAGCATAAACAGGAAATGATGCTAATGATGATAATGATGATGATAATGATAATGATGATGATGATGATTACGAAGGCGGAACATGATGCTAAATCACACAATAATAATAATATCGGTGTTTACGTTTGGCGATGATGTGGATTATAAAAACATCACTCATGTTTAGTGATGTCAACTCTCATACTTGCTGTTTTACTGACTGTGAGAGTGTCGATGATACAGATGTCATGACACTGATGGTGAGAGTGTCAGTGATACAGATGTCATTAACACTGATGGTGAGAGTGTCGATGATACAGATGTCATGACACTGACGGTGAGAGTGTCGATGATACATATGTCATGACACTGAGGGTGAGAGTGTCGATGATACAGATGTCATGACACTGATGGTGAGAGTGTCAGTGATACAGATGTCATTGACACTGATGGTGAGAGTGTCGATGATACAGATGTCATGACACTGATGGTGAGAGTGTCGGTGATACAGATGTCATGACACTGATGGTGAGAGTGTCCGTGATACAGATGTCATGACACTGATGGTGATAGTGTCGGTGATACAGATGTCATGACACTGTTGGTGAGAGTATCGATGATACAGATGTCATGACACTGATGGCGAGAGTGTCGATGATCCAGATGTCATTGACACTGATGGTGAAAGTGTCGATGATACAGATGTCATGATACTGATGGTGACAGTGTCGGTGATACAGATGTCATGACACTGATGGTGAGAGTGTCGGTGATACAAATGTCATGACAATGATGGTGACAGTTTCGATGATACAGATGTCATGACACTGATGGTGAGAGTGTCGATGAATCAGATGTCATTGACACTGATGGTGAGAGTGTCGATGATACAGATGTCATGAAACTAATGGTGAGTGATCGATGATACAAATGTCATGACACTGATGGTGAGAGTGTCGATGATACAGATGTCATGACACTGATGGCGAGAGTGTCGATGATACAGATGTCATGACACTGATGGTGAGAGTGTCGGTGATACAGATGTCATGACACTGATGGTGAGAGTGTCGGTGATACAAATGTCATGACACTGATGGTGAGAGTGTCGATGATACAGATGTCATGACACTCATGGTGAGAGTGTCGGTGATACAAATGTCATGACACTGATGGTGAGAGTAGTGGTGATACAAATGTCATGGCACTGATGGTGAGAGTGTCGGTGATACAAATGTCATGACACTGATGGTGAGAGTGTCGGTGATACAAATGTCATGGCACTGATGGTGAGAGTGTCGGTGATACAAATGTCATGGCACTGATGGTGAGAGTGTCAGTGATACAGATGTCATGACACTGATGGTGAGAGTGTCGATGATACAAATGTCATGACACTGATGGTGAGAGTGTCGGTGATACAAATGTCATGGCACTGATGGTGAGAGTGTCGGTGATACAAATGTCATGGCACTGATGGTGAGAGTGTCAGTGATACAGATTTCATGACATTGATGGTGAGAGTGTCGGTGATACAAATGTCATGACACTGATGGTGAGAGTGTCAGTGATACAGATGTCATGACACTGATGGTGAGAGTGTCGATGATACAAATGTCATGACACTGATGGTGACAGTGTCGGTGATACAAATGTCATGACACTGATGGTGACAGTGTCGATGAATACAGATGTCATGACACTGATGGTGAGAGTGTCGATGATACAAATGTCATGACACTGATGGCGAGAGTGTCGATGATACAAATGTCATGACACTGATGGTGAGAGTGTCGATGATACAAATGTCATGACACTGATGGTGACAGTGTCGGTGATACAAATGTCATGACACTGATGGTGAGAGTGTCGATGATACAGATGTCATGACACTGATGGTGATAGTGTCTGTGATACAAATGTCATGACACTGATGGTGAGAGTGTCGATGATACAGATGTCATGACACTGATGGTGAGAGTGTCGGTGATACAGATGTCATGACACTGATGGTGAGAGTGTCGATGATACAGATGTCATGACAATGATAGTGACTGTCGATGATACAGATGTCATGACACTAATAGTATTTCCTAAAAAAATCTATTTCCCGCTGAGTTTTGTCTATGGACTATGGCTGACAACAGGTATAGGGAACCGTGCTGACAGCAGGTATAGGGAACCGTGCTGACAGCAGGTATAGGGAACCTTGCTGACAACAGCTATAGGGAACCTTGCTGACAACAGGTATAGGGAACTGTGCTAACAATAGGTATAGGGAACCTTGCTGACAACAGGTATAGGGAACCGTGCTGACAACAGCTATAGGGAACCTTACTGACAACAGGTATAGGGAACCTTGCTGACAACAGGTATACAGAACCAAGATGAAAACAGGAACAGGGAACCATGCTGACAAAAGGTATAGGGAACCTTGCTGACAACAGGTGCCGGGAACCGTGCTGACAACAGATACAGGGAACCTTGCTGACAAGGTAAGACAGCTGACGTGATGCGATCAGCCTCATGTACAGACAAGTAAACAATCAGATTCCCTCAAACACTGTCTGTGACACTGGCACGGACAAGATCTTGTATGTGACACTGGCAGGGACAGGATCTTGTGTGTGACACTGGCAGGGACAGGATCTTGTGTGTGACACTGGCAGGGACAGGATCTTGTGTGTGACACTAACACGGACAGAAACTTGTATGTGACACTGGCACGGACAGGATCTTGTGTGTGACACTGGCACGGACAGGATCTGGTGTGTGACACTGGCACGGACAGGATCTGGTGTGTGACACTGGCACGGACAGGATCTTGTATATGACACTGGCACGGACAGGATCTTGTGTGTGACACTGGCACAGACAGGATCTGGTGTGCGACACTGGCACGGACAGGATCTGGTGTGTGACACTGGCACGGACAGGATCTGGTGTGTGACACTGGCACGGACAGGATCTGGTGTGTGACACTGGCACGGACAGGATCTGGTGTGTGACACTGGCACGGACAGGATCTGGTGTGTGACACTGGCACGGACAGGATCTGGTGTGTGACACTGGCACGGACAGGATCTGGTGTGTGACACTGGCACGGACAGGATCTGGTGTGTGACACTGGCACGGACAAGATCTTGTGTGACACTGGCACTAACATGATAACGTATGTGCCATTAGGGTGAGTATATTATGTTGAGCTTGCACGGGTCACCCCGAGCAAGCCAGTAACCCCGCCCCTTTTTTTTTCCCTACTACCCCCCCCCCCCCCCCACCCCCATCCCCCCAAAATTAATGTGTGATTAGACTGTATTATTATTATTAATAACCATGAATGAACTCATACATTTAAAGAATCAGAGATTTTATAAGCCTACCAACTGTATAGCCATACTAATTAAATATGATTAAAACCTAATCTCTATTTTGATTGTATGCCTTGTTTTCTTTGCTTCAACCATTATAGTGTATAGATCTACAGAATTACCCCCCTCCAATCTGCATATGTGTGTATATTTCTAAGTGTGTGTTCCATTCTCGAGCTTCTTCCTCTTGTTTGATGTGAATCTTTCTTTCTGAAAGTGTTTTGAAGACACATATGACGTTGTTTGTGCCTTTAACTTATAAAAAAAAAAAAACACACACACACTGCCCTTCTTCAATTTCTGGTTTAATTGTGCCCTTTACTCTTCTCATGATAATTCTCATTAATATTTTAGTTAACTGAATCATTAAACTAATTGCTCCATGTTCTCCACATTCAATTGCTCCAGGTGTTTTTTGGTAAAGGTATGAAACGAGACTTAAAAAGGTCATCAGGAACGTGTCGACTGTTATAAAAATCACTGAACAATTTTGTCAAAACTTCTAAACCCTGTTCACAAGCAGCTTTCAATTCTTCAACCCTGATGTTATCTGGCCCTGAAGATTGACATTTCTGTATGGGATTTATAGCATCTTGGAGATTGACATTTCTGTATGGGATTTATAGCATCTTGGAGATTGACATTTTCGTATGGGATTTATAGCATCTTGGAGATTGACATTTCTGTATGGGATTGACATTTTCGTATGGGATTTATAGCATCTTGGAGATTGACATTTCTGTATGGGATTTATAGCATTTTGGAGATTGACATTTCTGTATGGGATTTATAGCATCTTGGAGATTGACATTTCTGTATGGGATTTATAGCATCTTGGAGATTGACATTTCTGTATGGGATTTATAGCATCTTGGAGATTGACATTACTGTATGGGATTTATAGCATCTTGGAGATTGACATTTTCGTATGGGATTTATAGCATCTTGGAGATTGACATTTTCGTATGGGATTTATAGCATCTTGGAGATTGACATTTTCGTATGGGATTTATAGCATCTTGGAGATTTACATTTCTGTATGGGATTTATAGCATCTTGGAGATTGACATTTCTGTATGGAATTTATTGCATCTTGGAGATTGACATTTCTGTATGGGATTTATAGCATCTTTCACTTCTGCTTTCAGTATTGCCGGTCCTTCCCAGTACTGCTGACTATATTTTTGGTCTTCTGTTATCACCGTATAGCTCTTTTATTTACTCTATCCATCGTTAAATTGCTTGCTCTTTGTCCACTAATATTTCACCTTCTTTTGTTTGTAAGTAACTACTTGCTCTTTATTTTATTTTCCTGTATTCTTTGATGCAGTTGTGTGTCCTCTCTTTGTTGTAAGTTGGTTAAACCTGACTTTCGCGGCGGCTGGGTGACGAACTCCTTGTGGTCCGGGTTCACTCCCGGGGGTGGGCAGAAAAGCCACATTTCTCCCTGATTAAACGGTACCTATAATAGAATCATGGCCGAAGGGTTGCGATATCCATAGTACCGAGCCAAAGGGTTTACAACTCATGGTTTCTGGATACGTAAAAAAAAAAAGAAATGTTCATCACGGTTGTATTTTAGGGACAATTGACAGACGGGACGCGTCTTCTGTCATCCTAGGTACCATAATCACCGAACATCCAAGAACAGAGCAGGTTATCTTCTCTTGGCTCCAGTATGAGACCGGAAGTTCCGCTGACACCACTGAGGCCCAGTGGAATCAAGAGAAGGTCCCAGCTACACAACATTGCAGAAGCAGGGAAGTCGATAGATATCTGGTGAGCCGACCTGAGTTATAGACAGTCGGAGACCGTGTGGGCAGGTGGACAGGAGCCTTCTACTATAACCTTCATCTGTTTAACCTTGTCATCAAGGTAGTTTCTTTCTATGACTTTAGTTAGTGTAACCACGATGATGATTTTATGTTGTTGTTGTTGTTAATGGTGATGGTGGTGGTCTTTATAATAGTGATCATGATTATGGTGATGATGATGATGATGATCGTCTTGATAATGGTTATGATGATGAATGGGATATTATCCCAGACATCGAGAATAAGGTGGCTGCTTATGTTTTTGATATTTGATGATGATGAAGACAGTAGAAGACGAGCAAATTTACGAAATAACGAACTAACCAACGAACCAAGTAAAGAATTTCCTTTGCTTTCAAAGGGTTAAGAATTGGGTACGCAGACCGTCTACCATTCACTCCTTCTAGTCTCCCTTCTTTTATAAATCATTTCATTCCTACATCAAGTAATGGTAAACATTATCAATAGCATCAAACGCTATCTGTAAACATAATAATGTAAATGTTCCTTTGTTAGTGGGAGCGAATCTCTGAAAATTCTTCATTGATTGTTTTTATATTTTAACACAACGCAGCATTCGAATACGCGCTTGTTTTTATATAAGAGTGTCGGACAATGATTGTGAAATGTGTTAGACACGTGCGTTTTATTTTTTCTTTCTTTTATATTTAGCCAAATTTAGCCACAGCAAGGCGTGGCCGAGTACAGCTAGTAGTCTAGAAATGTGCCCATTTTCGCTACAGTAAACCGTGTTAATATAAATAAAATAAAAATAAATCTAGGGAAGATATGCGCTATTGTTAAAATGTTTTTATCTTTTATAAGGGAGTGTAATCTGTGCTCATATAATCTATGAACAGTTTCTGATTGCATGCATAGGGCCTAGTTGTGTTGTTGATTTGTTGTGTAACATTGTTAGGCAACTGAAGGCTGAAAACTTTCACAGATGATATCTATAGTCGTGGGCTTGTTTGATCTGATGATACATAAAGTCTACTTTGTACTGATGGTGGTGATGATGACGGTGATGATGACGGTGATGAAAGCGATGATGAGAATAAGACGATAATGAAAGTGAACTGACAGGAAACAACAGCCTTGATAGTGGTCTCATGAAAACTAATGTCAGTGATGTGCACCAGAGTATAGACTGTGAGACACGTTCACTTACCAGATGTGTACCAGAGTAGAGACTGTGAGACACGTTCACTTACCAGATGTGCACCAGAGTAGAGACTGAGACACGTTCACTTACCAGATGTGTACCAGAGTAGAGACTGTGAGACACGTTCACTTACCAGATGTGTACCAGAGTAGAGACTGTGAGACACGTTCACTTACCAGATGTGTACCAGAGTAGAGACTGTGAGACACGTTCACTTACCAGATGTGTCAGGATGTAATGATGGTAGGGGTCAATCATGCCCTCCTGCAGGGCCTGCAAACACAAGACAGGTGCACAAGTTGACTGTGACTGACCTGTGGACTTTTGATGTTGCTGACATTACATATTGACTGGCACTGTCACTGACCTGGGGACTTTTGATGTTGCTGACACTACAAATTGACTGTCACTGGCGATGGGGACTTTTGATGTTGCTGACACTACAAATTGACTGCCACTGGCGATGGGGACTTTTGATGTTGCTGACACTACAAAGTGACTGTCACTGGCGCTGGGGACTTTTTATGTCGCTGACATTACAGATTGACTGTCATTTCGTTGGAACACCACTCCGTACGTCTTCATAGAAACACCATTTTTGTTGGAACACCACTCGGTAGGTCTTCATAGAAATACCATTTTTTGTTGGAACACCACTCTATACGTCTTCATTGAAACAGCATTTTTGTGGGAACACCACTCCGTACGTCTTCATTGAAACACCATTTTTGTGGGAACACCACTCCGTAAGTCTTTATAGAAACACCATTTTTTAGGGAACACCACTCCGTACGTCTTTATAGAAACACCATTTTTGTGGGAACACCACTCCGTACGTCTTCATTGAAACACCATTTTGTGGGAACACCACTCCGTACGTCTTCATAGAAACACCATTTTTGTGGGAACACCACTCCGTACATCGTCATAGAAACACAATTTTTGTGGGAACACGATTTTACGGTCACTGACATGAGAGATAGCACAGCTGGCATTTTGTAAGAACACATTTTTATCGCCACGCCATAAAAAACATCAACAGAATCTGTTAGTTAGGATGTCACTGATATATGACAATGAACAATGGAATTTTTTCTGGTCAGGCTTTTATTTTACTGGGACACCAGAGATAAAAGAATGATCAACTCGCGGGCCAGCGACTGGTCGAATGGGTAGATACACACAGGACTCTCCTGCGGAGGACCCAGGTTCCAATACTCGGTAAGAAATAGCAATTATTGTGTGTGGTCTGGGTAACAATAAAACTCTAACATGCACAGTCCATGGCGACAGCACAAACCATGCAATCGTAAATGCTCAGGCTAAAAGATATCACCCCTTACCTACTCCCCGCCCCTCCCCCGCCCCCCGCCGCCCCTCCCCCGCCTACTTACTTCCTCTTGCACGGTATTTGTGGTGAGCAGGCAGAAATGGCAAGTTTTACACATATAGAATTGTGTGGTCACTTTGCTGCTGTGGCTTGATTACGGGAACCTTGTGGTCATTTCAAGGTGACACTGAACACTGAGTATATGCTGATCTCCTCTGAGCAAGCACACTCCTGGTCACTCCCTCCGTGACACTGGACATTAGGACTGTATCCATTATGGGCGACATAACTCCCGGTCACTCCACCCTGATACTGGACACCGAGTCTGTGCTGATCTTATCTTAGTGACGAAACTCCTCGTCTCTCCACGATGACCCTGGACCACTGAGTGTGTTCGGATCTAATCTGAGCGTCGCGCCAGAAGTTTAGTGACGAGCAAACAACCCTAGTGTGTCCACTGAGAATTACCAGAAGTTAAGTAACGAGCAAACAAGCCTAGTGTGTTTATTGAGAACAACCAAAAGCTAAGTCACGAGCAAACAACCCTAGTGTGTTTATTGAGAACAACCAGAAGTTAAGTAACGAGCAAACAACCCTAGTGTGTTTATTGAGAACAACTAGAAGTTTAGTAACGAGCAAACAACCGTAGTGTGTCCACTGAGAACAACCAGAAGTTAAGTAACCAGCAAACAACCCTAGTGTGTTTATTGAGAACAACCAAAAGCTAAGTCACGAGCAAACAACCCTAGTGTGTTTATTGAGAACAACCAGAAGTTAAGTAACGAGCAAACAACCCTAGTGTGTTTATTGAGAACAACCAGAAGTTAAGTAACGAGCAAACAACCCTAGTGTGTTTATTGAGAACAACCAGAAGTTAAGTAACGAGCAAACAACCCTAGTGTGTTTATTGAGAACAACCAGAAGTTTAGTAACCAGCAAACAACCGTAGTGTGTCCACAGAGAACAACCAGAAGTTAAGTAACCAGCAAACAACCCTAGTGTGTTTATTGAGAACAACCAAAAGCTAAGTCACGAGCAAACAACCCTAGTGTGTTTATTGAGAACAACCAGAAGTTAAGTAACGAGCAAACAACACTAGTGTGTTTATTGAAAACAACCAGAAGTTAAGTAACGAGCAAACAACCCTAGTGTGTTTATTGAGAACAACCAGAAGTTAAGTAACGAGCAAACAACCCTAGTGTGTTTATTGAGAACAACCAGAAGTTAAGTAACGAGCAAACAACCCTAGTGTGTTTATTGAGAACAATCAGAAGTTAAGTAACGAGCAAACAACCTTAGTGTGTTTATTGAGAACAACCAGAAGTGAAGTAACGAGCAAACAACCCTAGTGTGTTTATTGAGAACAACCAGAAGTTAAGTAACGAGCAAACAACCCTAGTGTGTTTATTGAGAACAACCAGAAGTTAAGTAACGAGCAAAACAACCCTAGTGTGTTTTATTGAGAACAACCAGAAGTTAAGTAACGAGCAAACAACGCTAGTGTTGTTTATTGAGAACAACCAGTGTGTTTATTGAAAAACAAGTTGTTAAGTAACGAGCAAACAACCCTAGTTTGTTTATTGAGAACAACCAGAAGTTAAGTAACGAGCAAACAACCCTAGTGTGTTTATTGAGAACAACCAGAAGTTTAAGTAACGAGCAAACAACCCTAGTGTGTTTATTGTAATGAAACAACCCTAGTGGTGTTTAAAAATGAAGTAATGAGCAAACAACCCTAGTGTGTTTATTGAGAACAACCAGAAGTTAAGTAACGAGCAAACAACCCTGGTGTGTGTTTATTGAGTAAACAACCAGAAGTTAAGTAACGAGCAAACAACCCTAGTGTGTTTATTGAGAACAACCAGAAGTTTGAGTAACGAGCAAACAACCTAAAAGTGTTTATTGAGTGAAGCTTAGAGCAAACTACCCTAGTGTGTTTATTGAGAACAATCAGAAGAAGTAAAGAGCAAACAACCCTAGTGTGTTTATTGAGAACAACCAGAAGTTCAGTAACCATCAAACAACCCTAGTGTGTTTATTGAGAACAACCAGAAGTTAAGTAACGATCAAACAACCTAGTGTGTTTATTGAGAACAACCACAAAGTTAAGTAACAAGCGCCCTAGGCAAACAACCCTAGTGTGTTTATTGAGAACAACGATCAAACAGACCTAGTTTTGTTTATTAGAACAACGATCTTAGTAACGATCAAACCCTAGTGTGTTATTGAGAACAACCAGAAGTAAGTAACGATCAAACAACCCTAGTGTGTTTATTGAGAACAAACCAGAAGTTGAGAACAACCAGAAGTTAAGTAACCAGAAGCTTAAATCAAACAACCCTAGTGTGTTTATTGAGAACAACCAGAAGTTTAGTAACGATCAAACAACCCTAGTGTGTTTATTGAGAACAACCAGAAGCTTAGTAACGATCAAACACCCTACCCTGGAGAACAACCAGAAGTTTAGTACGATCAAACTAACCCTATGTGTTTATTGAGAACAACCAGAAGTTTAGTATTTATTGGAACAACCAGAAGTTTAGTAACGATCAAACAACCCTAGTGTGTTTATTGAGAACAACCAGAAGTTTAGTAACGATCAAACAACCCTAGTGTGTTTATTGAGAACAACCAGAAGTTTAGTAACGATCAAACAACCCTAGTGTGTTTATTGAGAACAACCAGAAGTTAAGTAACGAGCAAAACAACCTAGTGTGTTTTATTGAGAACAATAGTTAAGTAACGAGCAAACTAACCCTAGTGTGTTTATTAACAATCAACGAGCAAACACCTAGTGTGTTTATTGAGAACAATCAAAAGTTAAGTAACAGAAGTGTTTTTGAGAAGTAACGAGTAACGATCAACAACCCTAGTGTGTTTATTGAGAACAACCAGAAGTTAGTAAACGAGCAAACAACCCTTGTTTTTATTGAGAACAACCAGAAGTTTTAGTAACGATCAAACAACCCTAGTGTGTTTATTGAGAACAACCAGAAGTTTGACGAACAACCATTGAAAACAATCTAAAGTTAAGTAACGAGCAAACAACCCTAGTGTGTTTTATTGAGAAACAACCAAAGAAGTTTAGTAACGAGTAACAAACAACCCTAGTGTGTTTATTGAGAACAACCAAAAGTTTAGTAACGAGCAAAACCCTAGTGTGTTTATTGAGAACAACGAGAAGTTAAGTAACGAGCAAACAACCCTAGTGTGTTTATGGAGAACAACCAAAAGTTTAGTAGCGATCAAACAACCCTAGTGTGTTTATTGAGAACAACCAGAAGTTTAGTAACGAGCAAACAACCGTAGTGTGTCCACTGAGAACAACCAGAAGTTTAGTAACGAGCAAACAACCCTAGTGTGGATATTGAGAACAACCAAAAGTTAAGTAACGAGCAAACTACCCTAGTGTGTATATTGAGAACAACCAGAAGTTTAGTAACGAGCAAACGTTCCTAGTGTGTCCATTGAGAACAACCAGAATTTTAGTAAAGTGCCGACCACAAACAGGGGAAATCCACAGGTCACGGAACAGTCAAATATTTTAGGGGATGGTAGATTAAGCGATTAGTTTTGCTTAGGGTTACGGTTATAGGTAAGGTTTTGGTTAGGATTAGGTAAAGACGAGAAAACCTTGGCCTTGGAAGAAACGCCATAAAGAACAGAAAACATCGAAAAACCCGCTCTTACTACCCTCTAAAATTCTGGACTGTCTCGTGACGTCATTTGTAGTCGGCTAAAAAGAAAGCACGTCTTCTTCTTCTTCTTCTTCTTCTTCTTCTTCTTCTTCTTCTTCTTCTTCTTCTTCTTCTTCTTCTTCTTCTTCTTCTTCTTCTTCTTCTTTTTCTTCTTCTTCTTCTTCTTCTTTTCCTTTTTCTTTTAATGCTGCTACAACTACTGCTGCTGCCACTACGTCTGCTGCTGCTACTACTTCTGCTGCTGCTGCTACTGATGCTGCTACTGCTGCTGCTAGCTGTTGTTTATATTACGTCTACAGCTGTTGCTAGTTGCCTTATCCTCAGTCGAACCTAGATGTGCCTACAGACAAACACACACACAACCTACCATCTTGAGAAGCAAACTGGTCTCCTCCAGTGGCAGATCCACCAGAAGTCTCTTCCATCGCCTCTCCTTGGCCTCCTTCAAGATGGCTCTCATGTTGGTGGCGTCCACGTGACGGACCAGGATTTCCTGCAGGGAGCCGAAGTCGCCACGGACAACTCGTTGGACTCGACTGAGACCTGGCGGTGAGAGAGACCATGGGGTCAGGCAATGATGGCGTCTTCGTGAAAGGACGAGGGGAAAGTGTAGTTACCTTTGATCAAATGAGACTACACATAATCTATGGTACAGTCTACCAGTTTACTGCCTAGCAAAGTCAGTCAGTTAGATTACTGGAGAGTTCACTTTCAAAAAAGCAAAATGATGTCACATATTTTGTTAATGAATTGCCCTCTCTGATCTTGAGGTGCAGCTTCGATGTTGCATTTGAAGACTTCTCTTTTAATGTCTTAAACCAACGGTTCTCAGCCTTTCTAATGCCGCGACCCTTTAATGCAGTTACTCGTGTTGTGGCGACCCTTTAATGCAGTTCCTCGTGTTGTGGTGAACCCCAACCATAACATTAATTGTGTTGCTACTTGATAACTTTAGTGAATCATTGTTTTCCGAGCGTCTTAGGCGACCCCTGTGAAGGGCTCGATCGATCCCTAAAAGTGTCAAGAAACCCGGTCTTTCGCCAGCTCTCCCGCCTCATGCACTTTTATGCTCAAGGAGTCACTTATATCCTGTCGTGTTGGTCGGCCCCTGCCTCTCCTTCCTGGTACCATGCCTTCTGCTATAATGTTTTCCAATCCGTCGTGGCTCTTGATATGACCAAAATATTTTAGCTATCGAGACAGGCTGCTGTTTCATTAGCCAATCTTCCTTGATGTTCAGATCTTTCAAGATGTCAGTATTTCTCCTCTTTTTCGTTCAAGATATTCTGAGAATCTTTCTAAAGCATTTCCGCTCAAAAGTCCCTATTCTATTTCTTAATGACTGGGAGATAATGCACGACTCACATTCATATGTTGCTACAGGAAAGGGAGATAGTCCACGACTCACATTCATATGTTGCTACAGGAAAGGGAGATAATGCACGACTCACATTCATATGTTGCTACAGGAAAGGGAGATAGTCCACGACTCACATCCGTATGTTGCTACAGGGAAGATGTATGCTCTCAAAAATCTAATTTTGATCCCCTTGCTGGTGCTTAGCCGTAGACTTTTTAGGCTGTTTTAATCTTTGCATTGCTATGGCCAACCTCCTTTTAATTTCTGTTAAACAGTGGCTATTGCTATTTATTAAAGAGCCTAGATATTCACAGTTTGTGTCTCATTTTCAATTTCTGAGGACAATTTTTTTATTTGTTATTTTTTGCCAGGGGCCGGTGACAGCATAAATATGGCCTGTCTGTGATACCTCTTGATATCATCCATAATCCAGTTTCGGGTGTTTATCCTTGTTTTCAGGACGAAAGTCAGTCAGTTTTTGTCATTTCCAGCCCTTTTCTGGCGAAATTTTTTGCCATATTTGCCGCTGGCTTTCATATAGGCAGGCCATAAATATGGCCAAATGTCTGAACGCGGTTTCTGGGACCTCTCCACGGCGATCCTCATCCGCATTGTGGCACTTTGTGTCATCGGGTGTTTATCGCTTGTGTGATGTCCTGGTGGGGTAGAAAGTCAGTCAGTCAGTCAGTTTGTGTCATTTTCAATTTCTTCACAATTTATTGTTATTTTTGGGTGACAGCAACTGTTAATACCCTTTCGTCCTTTTCTAGGACGAAATTTTTTTGTCATTTGAAGCCCTACTCTGGCTTTTGCCAGGGGCCGCAATATAGGCAGGCCATAAATATGGCCAAATGTCTGAACGCGGTTTCTGGGACCTCTCCACAGCGATCCTCATCCGCATGGTGGCACTTTGTGTCATCGGGTGTTTATCGCTTGTGTGATGTCCTGGTGGGGTAGAAAGTCAGTCTGTGTGATAAAACAGTAATACCCTTACGTCCTTTCTAGGACGTAATTTTTTTGTTATTTGAAGCCCTACTCTGGCTTTTGCCAGGGGCCGCAATATAGGCAGGCCATAAATATTGCCAATTGTCTGAACGCGGTTTCTGGGACCACTCCACGGTGATCCTCATCCACATGGTGGCACTTTGTGTCATCGGGTGTTTATCGCTTGTGTGATGTCCTAGTGGGTTAGAAAGTCAGTCAGTCAGTCTGTTGTGATAAAAACATAATGGGAGAAACACCAGAAAATCATGAACATCTATATCCATTAGCGAAGGACAATTATGTCATACAGGGTTTGAATACGACATTGATCTCCTGGCTGGTTCAGAAACAGAACTCTCAAGAACTTACTTCAAAACTAGAGACAGTCTGTGGTAAACATGGCATGGAAATTAATGCCGAGAAAAGCACGATTCTGGTAAATAGCTACAAAGGTCAAGTGCCTAGCAACATACGGATCACAAGTGAAAAAAAACTACAAGAAGTTGAAACCTTTAATATATTTTAGATCTCGGCTTCCACATAAGTAATCATGGCAGCTGTAGCAAATATATCAATATTAGACTTGATATGAAAACAGCCGCAATGTACTAGTTCACAACAATGTGGAAAAGCAAAACTGCACTCTAATGAACAGGGGAAGAAAAAGAAGCGAGGGAGGGGGGGGGGGGGCGGTCAAAGAGGAGGGGGCAAAGAAGAACTAAAATGACAACATCAAGAAATGAACAGGACTAGTTATCATACACTAATTCAATTCATCAAACATAATATGGCGGGTTTTATATGCTAGTGCCTTCATCGAAACACCTCCTCGGCCCTATCGGGTCAAGGGTTATATTATGTAGAACTGTCAGAGACAGACAACAGACAATTAATAGTGACGTGTAGAACTTCCCGAGTTAGAAAACAGACACTTTTAGTGACGGCAGAACTAAGACAGACGGAGAAAAGACCACTTAGTGTGACGTGATAGAACTGAGATAGACATGCCGTGGGAATTGGATATAATGGCAACAGACAAAACATAATGGAAACGTACACAGAAGAAATTAATGAGCAGACAAGTAGTATGGTCTGCGTAGAGGACACTCTAACCAGTGAGTAGAACAGACAGGACAATGATGTCTGAGAGGACACGACAACAAGTGAGTAAAACAGACAGGACAATGATGTCTGAGAGGACACGACAACAAGTGGGTAGAACAGACAGGACAATGTTGTCTGGGAGGACACGACAACAAGTGGGTAGAACAGACAGGACAATGATGTCTGAGAGGACACGACAACAAGTGGGTAGAACAGAGAGGATAATGATATCTGAGAGGACACGACAACAAGTGGGTAGAACAGACAGGACAATGATGTCTGAGAGGACACGACAACAAGTGGGTAGAACAGATAGGACGATGTCTGAGATGACACGGGGGGGGGGCGCACAAACCATGCTCAGACCCGTAGACAACCAACATCTCGCTCCAACCGTAGAAGGAGATGAGGTCCGTGTATGCCTTGCCCATCTGTTGGGCTCCAGGATACAGGTTGACGGTCAGCGCGTGAGCGGGAGTGTTGAGTGGTCCAGTGGCGTCACTCCTTGCCTCCAGGTGCGGGATCTGCAGCGAGGCACACAGAGAGTTGACATAGCCGGCCAGATTCTGGGCCCGAGGTCCGAACACAGCAATCGTACCCTGTTCAACCTGGTGACAAACTGCAGAAAACAAGCGAATCACTGACAGTGTGTGTGTATGTATATGCGTGTGTGTGTGAATATGTTTGTGTGTGTGTGAGGGTGTCAGTGTGTATTTATGTGTCGGCATGATGTGTTTTTGTGTGACAGTGTGAACGGATGTGCCAGTGTGTATTTGTGTATATATATTTATACTGTTTAACCCCCCCCCCCCCCCCCCCCCAAAAAAAAAAAAAACGCATAGTTATCAGATGGTGCATTTTTATTAGTTTGTAAATAAAATATCGTACTCGGATTTGTGAAAAGGAGAGTGCTTTTGTGGTTTGTCGGCTCTGTGGCTAAGTCGATGCGAACGCTTCGTAATGCCGGGATGCCGGGTTCGATCCCAGCTGCGGGCCATGAGCCTTGCGTTGGTTTAGACAGTGGTATCAAGAAAGCCAACCGTCCAGAAAGCAATGGCAAACTAGTGGACGTAAATTTGCCTAGAAAAACCACACAGCCAGGGGCTGTTCGGGTTGGTTCTGCAACGCCCTGTAAAGGATACACAACTAACCTTTTGTGGTTCACAGTGTCCAGTGGACATGTGGGTTTGAAGTGCGTGGGTTTTTGTAATCGTTACCACGCAGTGGTCAAATGTGTTTAAGATCATGTTTGTGAGCACTGCGCACTATTTATTGCCTACGCGATTGAAACTGTGTCTTGTGTATACCACCACTAGAGGAGACTGTGTCTTGTGTATACCACCACTAGAGGAGACTGTGTCTTGTGTATACTACAACTAGAGGAGACTGTGTATCAAGTCCAGATCTATGGTCTATAGTCTCAACAAGCGAGTCGAAAGAGTTACAACAAACCAGTGGTACTGTCAACGACAACCTTGTGGTACTTATCAACAACAGCCTAGTGGTACTTGTCAACACCAGCCAATGGTACCTGTCAACCACAACCTAGTGGTACTTGTCAACAACAGCCTAGTGGTACTTGTCAACAACAACCTGGTGGTATTTGTCAACACCAGCCTAGTGATACTTGTCAACAGCCTAGTGGTACTTGTCAACACCAGCCTAGAGATACTTGTCAACACCAGCCTAGTGGTACTTGTCAACACCAGTCTAATGGTACTTGTCAACAACAGCCTAGTGGTACTTGTCAACACCAGTCTAATGGTACTTGTCAACAACAGCCTAGTGGTACTTGTCAACAACAGCCTAGTGGTACTTGTCAACAACAGCCTAGTGGTACTTGTCAACACCAGCCTAGTGATACTTGTCAACAGCCTAGTGGTACTTGTCAACACCAGCCTAGAGATACTTGTCAACAACAGCCTAGTGGTACTTGTCAACAACAGCCTAGAGATACTTGTCAACACCAGCCTAGTGGTACTTGTTAACAACAGCCTAGAGATACTTGTCAACAACAGCCTAGTGGTACTTGTCAACAACTACCTGGTGGTACTTGTCAACACCAGCCTAGAGATACTTGTCAACACCAGCCTAGTGGTACTTGTCAACAACAACCTGGTGGTACTTGTCAACACCAGCCTAGAGATACTTGTCAACAACAGCCTAGTGGTACTTGTCAACAACAGCCTAGTGGTACTTGTCAACAACACTAACCTAGTGGTACTATCGGCTCAAGCTTCAACGCCTCAGCGATATCTTACGTACACTGGTGTGCTAAATGTTTGTCGTCATCATCTGCGAAAATCTCCCATCTGATCCACTGCCAATGTATCAGGAAGGATTTTAGCATTCTGTATAAATCGACATCGTGTGTCGTGATCAATGACTACACGTACCTGATGAACCATGACATGCGTGCCTCTCTAGGGTGAATGATGGCACGGAACAGTGCTTGCCGGAACACAGTAGATGCTCTATTAGTAGGTCGATGGGGCATGAGATCCACAGAAGATAGCCTAGACCAGTGGGGCTATCAATCAATTAATGCAGCTGACAATTCATCTTGGAAACGTGCAAGTCTCGACTGAGAAATGTAGATCTCAGTGCTGCACCCGCAGATCTGCTTTGATCTACAACGATCTGTAACGCTGTGTTGTAATGTGTTGTAGCCTTTGCTATCCTCAGATATTTTGGTAAATTTTTTTAACTCCAAATTTTGCCCGAGCAGCGCCGTTAGGCTACTATTTTTGATTTCTAACTGCCAAGGCATTTACCTGCGCAACAATACACACAGGCGTCCGATCTCACTACCCAGAGGCCAGGGTAAATTACTAGAAGACTACGAGTAAAAATCCCAGCCCTCACCAGGACCTGGAGCACACGAGGCGGACACCATACCTAGAGACTACACAGCCCCCTTCCCTATCCCCCCCCCACCCCCTTTTCCAAATGTCTAGTAACAGTGAAAAAAATTATCGATTTAAACACAATCATAAATGATGGGCGGTAAGGGTAATCGATATCGACTGGAGAAACTAGTGACAACATTGTGGCGTCTACCTTATGTTTGTCACATATACTACACCGCATAACAACTAGATCTAGAGATAATCTTTCTGCAGTAAACTAGACGGCTACTGGTATAACTGGAACTAGAAATGTGTGCTTACTGCTGAAGATGAGGACGAAGAGGTTGTGTGAATGTTCTGAAAACTACAATGTCTGCCATAAACTCATCTTAATATTACAAGATTGATCAGAGAGGGGATCTTGAAGCCTGACCTCCTGTTCCGTATCTGATATAACAAACGAGCAAAGCAACGAGCAAAACAACGAGCGAAAGAACGAATGAACACTAGCAGTAGTCTGACCTGGTGTCTACTAGCTAGTCTATGTGGGTCAGTCAGGTGATTACTACAGAGCAGCCGCACATGTCGCCTGCCAGTGGGTGATTACTACAGAGCAACCGCACATGTCGCCTGCCAGTGGGTGATTACTACAGAGCAACCGCACATGTCGCCTACATGCAGGTGATTGCTACAGAGCAACCGCACACGTCGCCTGCCAGTGGGTGATTACTACAGAGCAACCGCACATGTCGGCTGCCAGTGGGTGATTACTACAGAGCAACCGCACATGTCGCCTGCCAGTGGGTGATTACTACAGAGCAACCGCACATGTCGGCTGCCAGTGGGTGATTACTACAGAGCAACCGCACATGTCGGCTGCCAGTGGGTGATTACTACAGAGCAACCGCACATGTCGGCTGCCAGTGGGTGATTACTACAGAGCAACCGCACATGTCGGCTGCCAGTGGGTGATTACTACAGAGCAACCGCACATGTCGGCTGCCAGTGGGTGATTACTACAGAGCAACCGCACATGTTGCCTGTCTGCAGGTGATTACTACAGAGCAACCGCACATGTCGCCTGCCAGCAGGTGATTACTACAGAGCAACCTCACACGTTGCCTGCCTGCAGGTGATTACTACAGAGCAACCGCACATGTCGCCTGCCAGCAGGTGATTACTACAGAGCAACCGCACATGTCGCCTGCCAGCAGGTGATTACTACAGAGCAACCTCACACGTTGCCTGCCTGCAGGTGATTACTACAGAGCAACCGCACATGTCGGCTGCCAGCAGGTGATTACTACAGAGCAACCGCACACGTCGCCTGCCTGCAGGTGATTACTACAGAGCAACCTCACATGTCGGCTGCCAGTGGGTGATTACTACAGAGCAACCGCACACGTCGCCTGCCTGCAGGTGATTACTACAGAGCAACCGCACACGTCGCCTGCCAGTGGGTGATTACTACAGAGCAACCTCACACGTCGTCTGCCAGCAGGTGATTACTACAGAGCAACCTCACATGTCGTCTGTCTGCAGGTGATTACTACAGAGCAACCTCACACGTTGCCTGCCTGCAGGTGATTACTACAGAGCAACCGCACATGTCGGCTGCCAGTGGGTGATTACTACAGAGCAACCTCACATGTCGCCTGCCAGCAGGTGATTACTACAGAGCAACCGCACATGTCGGCTGCCAGTGGGTGATTACTACAGAGCAACCGCACATGTCGGCTGCCAGTGGGTGATTACTATAGAGCAACCGCACATGTCGGCTGCCAGTGGGTGATTACTACAGAGCAACCGCACATGTCGGCTGCCAGTGGGTGATTACTACAGAGCAACCTCACACGTTGCCTGCCTGCAGGTGATTGCTACAGAACAACCTCACACGTTGCCTGCCTGCAGGTGATTGCTACAGAACAACTTTACACGTTGCCTGCCTGCAGGTGATTACTACAGAGCAACCTCACACGTTGCCTGCCTGCAGGTGATTGCTACAGAACAACCTCACACGTTGCCTGCCTGCAGGTGATTGCTACAGAACAACCTCACACGTTGCCTGCCTGCAGGTGATTACTACAGAGCAACCTCACACGTTGCCTGCCTGCAGGTGATTACTACAGAGCAACCTCACACGTTGCCTGCCTGCAGGTGATTATCTGAACAGTAAGTAATACTGGACATAAAATCCAGTGAACTGATTAAAAAGCTGAGCGAAATGGAGAAGCAGTTAAACAAAAAAAAACGCACAAAACAACACAAATCGACATTTCGGCCAGGTGCCTTTCTCGACAATAAACGAACTACACAATAGTAACAAAGAGAAGAGTACTCCAACCACTAAAGAGTTACATAAGGTGACAGTAATAAAATGAACGTAGGCTCGGAAAAATAGTCGCAAAAAAAAAAAATTTAATACTGTAAATATGTAAGATAATAGTAGGAAATACAAATAATAATAATCCATATGTGGTACTGATAAAAGATAGAATAAAGTAATAATATTAAATCTATCTCTTATAAGAAACATTTATTGATCATTATCATGTGTATTTTTATAATTTTTATTACTTTCTTATATTTTATTGTACATAACAATATCACATTTAGGCTTTTTTCGAGCCTTTTGTTTTCCTTCCTTATCACCTTTTTTCAAAAGTTGCTCACTTAACCCCTGAGTGGTTACAGTAATCTCCTCTTTGTGGCTGTTGTATAGTTTATTTCATGGCAAAAAAGGCCCCTGACCGAAACGTCGATTTGTGTA